TGAGGTAGAATGCAGAAGTTGGGGCTTGCCCGATTTAAATAAGGTTTTCTTCAAGTGGAATTTCATGGAAACAATTCAGAAGTGACGACAATGCCTGTTTTTCTTCTCTCACTTCATTCTCAATCCAGCCTACAGTCCAGGGATTTCCTGCTAGTCTGTCATCCAAAGATCAGTCAGGTTTGGCCCTGCTTAGCTTCTTCCAGATTATCTAGGTGTTGCTGTGAGTAGAAAAGCTTTAAACTAATCACAGATATCTCTCCTCCCAGATGTATACTGTACAGAGCGTATTGTACATGCAGATCAGTTACAGAGTTTGCTGAATGAATGATATCCATGTCCTAATATACAAAACAACCGTTTGAATGTTACTATGGGGAAAATGAAAAGACAAAATAAAATAAAATTTACTTTGTGTTATATTGCACTTATGTAAAGCAGGAAAAGAGGTCAAACACATGAACTAATTACATATTTTTGTAAGCTACCCTATTAGTTATATTGTCTGAAATGATCAGCTGTCTTTGCCAGAATGTTTTTCTATGGTTAATGTTTTCATTGTTCACTGGGAAACAGCAGAAGATTTAGTATAGCAAATTTGTGGGTTTTGAAAGCAACCTTGGCCAAATGCAGGTGAGTCAGGAACTTCAGAGAAAACTTTATAAGCAAAGGCACTGTCAAGAGTAAAAACCATCCTTAAAACTGGGATCTTGGGGTTCACAGTTTTAAAGGAACCCCCTTTAAAGGTATGCCAATAACGTACCTGCCTTTTGGTCTTCAGCAGTAGAGATAGCATATCTTGGCTGCAAAAATCAGTTGGCAACAAGGAGATCCCCAAAATTCTTTGTCACCATCTAGTCATTATTCAGGATTTTTTCCCAACACAGATATGATCACTTTTTCAGGAGAGAACACATTATTTTGACCTTTAGGAAAAGAAAGTTGCCTATGCTATGAGTTGAGATCCTGCTGCCATATTATGCTCTTGGTGCGAGAATACTGGGCTTTTAACACCTGTTTTGGGTGATCCAACTAAAGGTAAGCCCCCTACATCCCAGTCATCTAATTGGGGATTAAGTGTATTCTTGTCTCCAATAAATCCTGACAACTGACCTGTGAGCTCCAGTAAGGTAGATATCATCCTGTAATGATATATTTATGAGCCTGTAATAGATTATCCTTTTATTGCGCCATGGTAGGTTGTGCAAGTACAAATCCTTCATATATTGCAATTTGGTATTTTCAAAATTTTGGAAAAATCGACATTTTATTGTTGTTTAACTTTTAGTTTAAAAATAAGTAAATTAAAATCTTAAATAAA